GTGTACATGTATGTTGATCATCTCTACTCCAACTCTCCACCCAATACATCCTTTCAGGCCTTCTCTCTCTCTCTCTCTCTCTCTCTCTCTCTTTCTCTCTCTCCCCCCTCTCTCTCTCCCTCTCTCTCTCTCCTCCCCTCTCTCCTCTCTCATCCTACTTTAGCACTGCCTGTTGGAATGTTGATGTTGTTTTGTGATCGCATGTGAGTAAACACAGCTGTTCTAAGTTCGTGAGCGCACTGGTCAAGTGACATCCGGAAGCCAGCACTCCTCGGGACTCTTCCCCATCCTCCAGTGCTCGCTTACTTTATGCTTTGTGTTTCCTGATGTCCCCTGAGCCTCTGCTGAAGGTTGATATTGATGTCCCTTTTCAGTCTGAGCACTCAACAGTCACTGATTCTCAGCACTTTGACAATTTAGGAGTCTCTTCACCAAGTGCTGACCACTGCAGAGAGAGGCTCCTCTGGCTAAGGTCTAAGGCAGCACTAATCTATGTTTATAAACTTTAATATTTAGAAGGCAGTTTGACAACATGTTCATTTAGCAAGACAACAGTGGTTAAGTTCCATTCTAAGGGCTTGGGGCCCCTGATTCACGATCATTTGACCAGGTTTATAGTACCAGGTGCCAGGAAGGACTTCTTTCCTGTTGATTAGATCTGACTCCAGTGGTTGATTGCCTCATGACCTTTGAGCCACTATTACCCCAGTGGGCACATCCTTGGGCATTTCTTTAGATGTGGGAATCATAAGGCCCATGACTCTGGGAACCGTGATAACTAGTTTTCATTGTTAAATTGACTACATCTGAAATTAACTAAAACCTCAACTAAATCCCTGCTGTGAGGGATTTTTAGTTAATTGGATCTTTTGAGGTAGGAAGACCCACCCTAAATCCGAGCCACACATTCTCATGGCAATCTATTTACAGGACAAGGAAGAAGGAAGATTTTGCTCTTTGCCTGTTTGCCCTCACTCTTACTGGGAAGTGTTATAAAATAATCTTTTTGTACACTGTGAAGAAATGTCACTTGGATTGGTTTAATAAAAAGCTAAATGGCCAATAGCTAGGCTGGATTTGGAGGGGAGCAGAGAGAATGCTGGGAAGAAGGTGGAGTTGCAAGGAGACACCAGGGATACAGATCGAGGAAGCAGCATGGGCTTTATAAAGTAAAGGTAGCCAAATGACGCAAAAGGACATAGATTAAAAGATATGAGTAACTACTATAGAGCTATAACAATAAAATCAGCTTGGTATTGGCATAAAAACAGACCAGTGGATCAATGGAATCGATTCAAGGACCCTGATATCAACCTATGAACACCTGATTTTTGACAAAGAAGCCAAAATGGTACAATGGAGAAAGGAAAACCTCTTTAACAGATGGTGTTGGCATAACAGGAAGTTAACATTGCAAATAGATCCTTATCTATCACCATTCACAAAACTCAAATTCAAGTGAATCAAGGACCTCAACATAAATCCAACTACGTGAACCTTATAGAAGAGAAAGTGGTGAGTAGCCTGGAGTGCAATGGTAGAGGAGACCACTTCCTGAACATAACAGCAGTAGCACAGACACTGAAAGCAACAAATCAATAAATGGGACACCCTGAAACTGAAAAGCTTCTGTAAGGAAAGGACACAGTCAATAAGACAAAACATTAGCCTACAGAATGGAAAAAGATCTTCACCAACCCCACATCTGACAGAAGGCTGATCTCCAAAATATATAAAGAACTCAAGAACTAGACATCAAAATACAATTGAAAAATGGGGTACAGAGTTGAGCAGAGAATTCTCAACAGAATAGCAAATGGCCAAAAGACATTTAAGGAAGTACTCAACATCCTTAATCATCAGGGAAATGCAAACCAAAACTACTCTGAGATACCATCTTACACCTGTTAAAATGGCTAAGATCAAAAATACTGAGAACAGTTTAGGTTGGAGAGAATGTGGAGCCAGAGGAATACTTCTCCACTGCTGGTGGGAGTGCACACTTTTACAGCTCTTTGGAAATCAGTATATAGGTTTCTAAGAAAATTGGGAATGAATCTACCTCAAGACCCAGTGATATCACTCTTGGGCATTTACCCAAAGGATGCTCAATCACACCACAAGAACATTTGCTCAACAATGTTCATAGTAGCATTATTCATAATAGCCAGAACCTGGAAACAAACTAGATGCCCCCTCAACTGATAAGGAAAATGTGGTACATTTATACAATGGAGTACTACTCAGTGGTAAAAAAAAATGATGACTTCATTAAATTTTCAGGCAAATGGATGGAACTAGAAAAAACCATCATGAGTGAGGTAACCCAGACTCAGAAAGATAAACACGGTATGTAGTCACTTATAAGTGAATATTAGATGTAAAGCAAAGGATAACCAGACTAAATCCACAGCTTCAGAGAAGCTAGGTAACAAGGAGGACCTTAAGAGGGACACATAGATTACCCTGGGAAGAGAAAGTAGTTGATATCTATGGGGCAAATTGGGGGCAGGGGTAGTGTCAGTTAGGGGGAAGAGAAGGGTGATGAGAACAGGAGGGAGTGAGATGGCCTAGGCGGGGAGGGGTGCAGTGGAAGAGCAATGAAAGAGATACCTTAACAGAGAGAGCCACTATGGGCTTAGGAAGAAACCTCATGCTAGGGTGACTACCAATAACCCCAGCTAAGACTCCTAGCAATAGTAGAGAGGATGCCTGAGCTGGCCCACCCCTGTAATCAGACTGGTGAATACCTCAAATATCATCATAGAGCCTTCATCCAGTAATTGATGGAACCAGATGCAGAGATCCACAACCAAGCACCAGGCTGAGCTCTGGGAATCCAGGGGAAGAGAAGGAGGAGGGAATACATGAGCAGGGGAGGTCAAGACCATGATGGAGAAATCTACAGAGACAGCTGAACCAAGTTCCTGGAAACTCACGAACTCTAGACCTACAGCTGTGGAGATTCCAGGGGATCAAACTAGGCCGTCCATATGTGGGAGACAGTTGTGAAGCTTGGACTATCAGAGTGACCCCTGGCAGTAGGACCATGATACAAACCTGGTACATGAGCTAGCTTGTTGAAGCCCATTCCCTATGTGGGATTCCAAGCTCAGTCTTAATGCATGGGAGAAAGGCCTGACTATGTCTCAACCTATTGTGCCAGACTATGTTGACTCCTAATGGGAGCCCTTACCCATGAGGAGGAGTGGCCTGGGGGTGGGCTAGGGAAGAGGGAGGTAGGTGGGAGGAAGGGTGGGAGGGAGAACTGTGGTTGGAATATAAAACGAAATTTAAAAATATTGTCAATGAAACTTGAAAAAAAAAGATGAGGTAATTCCAGTTATAAGAACTAGATACAAGCCTAAGCTATCGACCAAGCTTTCCTACTTAATAAAATGTCTTCACTTGGTCATTTGGGAGCTGACTGGTGGGTCAGGAAAAGTCTGACTACAGGCAATTCCATTCCTTCCCTGTTATTAGAGCCTACTTCCTCGAGATCCTGATGTATATTGAAGACCAGCTGAGACATCCAGCCTCATGGACTGAGCAGCTACTGGGTACTTGGACTTTCTGATGTAGACAGTCATTGTTAAGCTAGCTGGACCACAGTCTGCAATCGACTCTAATAACTCTCCTGTATAGAAATACAGGTTCATTCTGTAGGATCTGTTCCTCTAGAGAACCCTAATAATACAGAAGCCCAGAGCTGAACTCTCAGAGACACCCCTGCCTCCAGTTATGAGTTTAAAGGAAGAAGTGGTGGAGTGGGTTAGCACTTCATTTTCTTTTCAGTTTCAGAAACCTATTTAACCACACATTTTCCTGATTAAACAAATTCTGAGATGGGGAACAGGGACAGGTCATTCGGGGACCGTGGTGGCTGTGCTTGGTTGTCAGCTTGTCTACTGGAATTAAATGTTTTCCATTAAACAAATTCTGAGTTGGGGAACAGAGACAGGTCAAAAAGAAACCCCCGAGGTCTTGATTTAGGGAGCCACTCTGGGTACGGTAGAAAAGCTGACTACAGTGGGGGCAGAAGGAAGGAGTTTTGTTGTCTCCACATGCACAGTGACCAGACGAGCGTGGAGGTGGCTGTCATTCTTTAGTTTTGATTGCCTATACGTCGTGGTTGTTTTATGTAGTGGGGCCATCAGAATAGAGTCTTTGAGCTGACAAAAATCAAGCAGAGCAAGTGTCTTGTGTCTTAATTGAGAAAACAGAGCCCTGGTGGCAGGTTTTTGTTTGTTTTTTTTTAAACACAGAACTTTAAAACCTGATATCTTGAAGAAAGTTAGAAAATATTAATGGAAAAATCTTAGCACCAAATTGTATCTGAAAACTAATGATCCAAAAGACTAACTAGCATTTGCCCTATAAACCTCTCACAAATTATCTCTCCTATCTATGAGAAACAAAAACATCTTCTGTAAAACTTTGATATTGCCTCCTGACTTCACTGCTGGGTCACTAGATAGTGAGCTCATCCGAAGGCCAGAGGAAGCCAGGCAGTGGTGGTACACACCTTTAATCGCAGCAGAGGAAGGCCCATCTCCGTGATTTCGAGGCCAGCCTGGTCTGCAGAGTGAGTTCCAGGACAGTCAGGGCTGCACAGAGAAACCCTGTCTCTAAAAACAAGCAGAAAGTTCAGAGGAAAGGCGAAGCAGATGAGATGTGCCACAAACACAGCAGCACTGTCAGAACCACCATGGCCAGCAGGTTGAATTCGACCAATAACGGTCTACGAATTATTAACACCGCTGTTTCACTCCACCAGTAGAGACAGCAATGAGCCTACTGAAGTGAAAGATAAAGACAGAACCATAAAGAGATTACTCAATTTGACTGCAAGTCTACAAATTTGTTTCATTGGCCATTCTACTTAGGAACAAGAGAACTTGGGCTCAAGCTTTCTATGTGGTGTAGCTCCAGTAACTAACAGTAGGTGGCAGTAAAGAGCAATTTCTTGCAATGCTGAAAGGAGTTACAAAAAGTGCTTGAGGAAGTAAGTACTTGAATTTTTTACTGCTATGCTGGTGAGGCAGGTTGCCTTGGTAAGCAAAACAAATTACTCTTTTTTTTTCTGAAAGAAGGACAGTGCTAGTTGCCATGAAGAAATAGAAAATGTCCCTATGATCAAGTCACGTAAGTTATTCTAAGTGGGCTTGCTTCTGATAATTACTGTGACTGGTGTGGTTTGACACTAGTGTTTGTCCAACCTAAATCAGAGAAAGACTTTATTTTGTGTGATTTGTTTTCAAGAGCTCCTGTGTGTGTGTGTGTGTGTGTGCGTGCGCGTGTGCGTGTGCATGTGCGTGTGTGTGTGTGTGTGTGTGTGTGTGTGTGTGTGTGTGTATGAGTATTTGGTCACAGGTGTTTTTTGTTTGTTTTTTGGACACAGCTATTTTTGGTTTTAAGTGACCTCTCCTCCTCTCCCTGTCCTCCCTCTCCTCTCCTCTCCTCTCCTCTCCTCTCCTCTCCTCTCCTCTCCTCTCCTCTCCTCTCCTCTCCTCTTCTCTCCTCCCTCCCCACCCCTTCTCTTCTCCTCCTCCTCCTCTCTTCCTCCTCCCCATCCATATTCCTTTCAATGAAATGGTCAGGAAAATGGACAAGCTGTGACCTGCATACATTTGAGTGTGTCTACCAAGAGTCCATGTGTTGGAACTTACTACCCTCTGCCAGGCACAAAGAGTGCGGAAGCTCAGTCTAACGATGGCATTTGGAGGAAACTAGGGTTGAATTCCATCAGATAAGAGTAGAGACCTGTGATTGAATACTGATGGCTTAACAAAATCAGGGGGGGTGACCAACATACATACATATGTCCCCATCTCTGGTCATGGGATGCCCTCTGATGCACTGGGACTCTGCTATCAAGGTCATTGTTAGATGTGACCCCTTGACTGTGGCCCCAAATGGTAAGTAAAATTAATTTCTTTTCTTTGTCAAGTAGTCTGTCTCGGGCGTTTCATCATACCAATGAAAGCAGACTGTCCAGTAGAGTTCAGTGCTGTGTGCGATAGACAGCTCTGGTAAATGGAGAGGGTTATGTTCATTTTTATTCTGGGTTATTCTTACTGGATATTCTTGATGTTTTCTCAGACTATTGAAACTGTTCTGGGGAGCTAGAGGTCAAGGTGAAATTGTAGGTTTTGAAAATGCTCTCCAAGCCACACTCAAGTCAATCAGTGCAGAAGTTTGTAAAGTCACGTAGGAAGCCAAGCTCTTGCCCTCTGTCTGGACTTTCCAGCAGTGGTTAATAGTTACACCAGCCCAGAGCAGACTCTTTCACACGTGTTGGCAGAACTGAACTTAAAGAGCCAGGTTCATTGTGTGGGTGTTGTCCCATTTAAGACTAGCCACACCCTGAATTAATGTCCCCAGAGTTTCTGGACAGAGGTAGCTCAATCATGTTACTTCCTTGTGTCATTTGATGCAGCTACTTGTCCTGGAGCATAAAGATAGACATAAATGTATTGGAAGACTTTTTGCTTATAAGGGCTTCACTCCTGCTCAGTTAATGAATCATCCTTTTAGTTCGTTATGGTAAGGTGGCTTTGAGGTTCTAAAATAGATGGGGATCAGTGAGTAGCGTTAAGATGTTGCTCAGCAATGTTTTGGCAGGGCATAGTACAACATCCCATCATTCTAGAGGCTGAGGCAGGAGGGTCACTACAAGTTTGAGGCCACCCTGGTCTACATAGCCACAAAATGAATTCCAAGGTAGCCAGGGTTACATATCAAGAGGCACCTCAAAAACAAAAACAGTAATAACAAGATTTGATTCTTGTTTGGACAAGAAAATTTAGACATCAATTTTCAGTGACTTTAGTGAGTTTATTATCAACAATTTATAGCTCCAAATATCTAAAATTACATAAATACCTAAAAATATCTACAATTATCTAACATTTATTTCTTTGCATATATAATACTTTGATTTTTTTAAAAAAACAGGCATTTCTTTATTTTGAGTGTGTGTGCATGTGAGTGTGTGTGTGTGTGTATGTGTGTATGTGTGTGTTTGCATGTGCTCGTGTGGAATTTGGGGCAGTTTGTGGGAGATGGTTCTCTCTTTCAACTGCGTGGGTCCTGGGGATCAAACCCAAGTTGTCAGGGCTGGTGGCAAGTGCCTTTACCAACCAAGCAATCTCACTAGCCCTAATCTTTTAATGTCTTAGTTATACAAACAAAAAGTAGTTTCATAAACTGAATATCTCCAGTTAATGGCTTGAAGGGAAAGGGCTCTGCAGTCAACTGATGTGTGCTGAGGACATGTGGGCAGGGATCTGGCTGTGTTGGTGTACCGGTGGCCTGTTTTTCTAATGCCATTTTAGCGAGCTTTAAATCAGTCCACTGAGACAACTGCAGAGCTGTGCAGCCTTTACTTCAAGAGCCTCTAGTGCCCATGTCAACACATGTGCTCTCAAGCGTCACTGTGCTCTCATGCATTGTCACTGATGTCAACACAGCCCCACCTGTTTTCATAGGCCGCCGGAGCGGCGCCAGCAGGACAGCATCTGAGGTAGTGGGCTGATAACTACACCAATGGACACAACCCCAGACAATGTCTGGCCCTTCAGAGAGGGAAATATTCATCTGATGAATGAACGAAAAAGATTTTCTGAAGATTTTTCATCCTTGAATCCCTCCAATATTTGCTGGATAAATAAATGAATGAAAGAATCAGTGAATTATTCTTTTTTAAACTTTTTTTAAATTTTACATACCCACCACAAACCTTCAAAGCCTCCATCCTCTCCTCCTCTTCCCTCCCCCCACCCACTCCTCCTCCATCTCCATTCAGAAGGGGTAAGGTCTCCCATGGGAGTCAAGAAAACATGGCATATCAAGCTGAGGCAGGACCAGGCTCCTCCCCTGCATCAAGGCTGAACAAGGCATCACACCATAGGGAGTGGGTTCCAAAGAGCCAGCTCATGCGTCAGGGATAGATCCTGGTCCCGCTGCTAGGGGCCCACAAAAGACTAAGATACACAGCTGTCGCCCAGATGCAGAGGGCTTAGGTCAGTCCCATGTCGGCTTCCTAGCTGTAGGTCCAGAGTCCGTGAGCTGCCACAAGATCAGGTGAGCTGTCTCTGTGGGTGGAGTGAATTACTCTTATGACTCAATATCCTCGGGAATCTTACGGTCTGTTTGTGGATCTGCTATATGTCCCCCATAGGCTCATGTGTCTGAATTCTTGGTCTCCAGTTGGCGCTATTTGGGGAGGTGATGGAACCTTTAGGGAGTGGAGCCTTGAGGAGGGGGTACGCCTGTCACTGGGGTGGGTTTTGAAGGTTTATAGCCTGGTCTCACTTCCTTCCTCTTGCTCTGCCTCCTGTGTCCGGACAAACGTGAGCAGCCAGCTCTCCAGCTCCCGCGGCCACGCCTTCTCCAACGTAATTACGCTGTCCCCCTGCAACCGTAAACTAAACAAACCCGTTCTTCCTTAAGTTGCTTTGTCAGGATGTTTTAACACAGCAACAGAAGTAACTAATATAGGATCTAACCCTGCTTCCTTGCTGTGACCAACAAGGTTTTGAGTGATCTGGGCCCTCCCCCACAATCACTAGTTAAGAAAATGCCCCACAGCTGGACCTTATGGCCGCATCTTCTCAATCCAGGTTCCCTCCTTTCCAATGACGCTAGCCTGTGTCAAGTTAGCGCTAAACTACACAGCATCAGGTGGTTCCGTGGGCCATCCGCGCTATAATCCTACAGCCCCTGCAATAAATAATCATGGATTTGGTGGCTTAAAACAACAGCAGTTCATTCTGGAGGCTGTAAATACAGGCATCGGCAGGGTAGGGGTCTCTCTGGAGTCTTCTCTAGCTCCTGTCATATATCAAGTTGTTTGGGGCTAGCAAGGTGGCTGAGTGGGTGAAGGCACTTGCTGCCAAACCTGACAAGCTGAGTTCAGTCTCTGGAGAAAACTGACTCCCACAAATTGTCCACACATACACTGTGGCACACACACACACACACACACACACACACACACACACACACACACGTTTTGTTTGATTAAAGTTCACAGTACCTATTGTCTATCTATCTACCATTTACTGAATTAATCAATCTTCCTGATTTTGGGTTGTCTAACTCTAAAGAATGTAGCCTTTATTTTGTGAATCTCTAATAACAAAAACTGTTTAGTACCTAATTTAATATAATCATTTAATGTGAATTTTTCCTAGGATCTGTACTCATGTTGAGATGCTCTGAAGAATAGCAGCCACTTCAGGGATGTCTATTGCCATACAATGACTAAAACAAATTCCATCGGCTTCTATTTTATCCTTGTCTTAGGACTGATACCTATCAAAATGCAACTGTCTGATGGAAGTGAACTTATCATTAAGATACCAAGAGCAAACCTTGCCCATGTGCCCAAGGACCTACCCTTGACAACAACTACTTTAGATCTATCACAAAACAATATATCTGAGCTTCAGACTTCTGATGTCCTCTCATTGTCCAAGCTGAGGGTCTTGATGATGTCCCATAACAGAATCCAGTGTCTGGATATTGGTGTCTTCAAATTCAATACTGAACTGGAATATTTGGATTTGTCCCACAATGAGTTAAGGGTGATTTCTTGCTCCCCAACAGTCAACTTCAAGCACTTAGACCTCTCCTTTAATGCATTTGATGCTCTGCCCATATGCAAAGAGTTTGGCAACATGTCCCATTTAAAATTTCTGGGACTGAGTGGTAGCAAGGTACAAAGTTCCAGTGTGCAGTCCATTGCTCATTTGAATATCAGCAAGGTTCTGCTGGTTTTAGGAGACACTTACGGGGAAGTAGAAGACCCTGAGAGTCTTCAGCACATTCGCACTGGGAATCTTCACATTGTCTTCCCTGAGAAAAGAGAATTTCGCTTCCTACTGGATGTGTCAGTGAGCACGGCAATTAGTTTGGAACTGTCTAACATCAAGTGTGGACTTGAAGACAAGGAGTGCTCTTATTTCTTAAGTGCTTTGTTCAAGCTTAGAAAGAATCTGAGGCTGTCAAATCTTACCTTAAATAACGTTGAAACAACATGGAATTCCTTCATTAAAGTCCTCCAGTTGGTTTGGCATACACCGGTAAAGTATTTCTCAATTTCAAACATGAAACTACAAGATAAAGTTGACCAAAGAAGTTTCAATTACTCCGGTACTTCCCTGAAGGCTTTGTCGATATATCAAGTGGTCAGCAATGTGTTCAGTTTCCCACAGCATTACATATATGGTATCTTTTCCAATATGAACATCCAAAGCGTCACATTGTCTGGAACACACATGCTTCACATGGTTTGCCCATCCCAAGCTAGCCCATTTCTGCATTTGGACTTCTCAGATAACCTCTTAACAGACATGGTTTTTAAAGATTGCAGAAACTTAATCGAATTGAAAACACTCAGTTTACAAAAGAACCAGTTGAAAAAACTTGAAAATATAATTCTTATGTCTGCTGAGATGACATCGTTACAAAAACTAGACATTAGCCAGAATTCTCTAAGTTATAGTGACAAGGAAAGCCTTTGCTCCTGGACTGAGAGTTTGCTAGTTTTAAATTTGTCTTCAAATATGCTTACTGGCTCTGTCTTCAGATGCTTGCCTCCCAAGGTCAAGGTCCTTGACCTTCACAACAACAGAATAATGAGCATTCCTAATGATGTCACCCACCTGCAAGCTCTACAGGAACTCAATGTTGCATCCAATTCTTTAGTGGACCTTCCTGGATGTGGGGCCTTCAGCAGCCTTTCTGTGCTGGTCATCGAGCATAATTCAGTTTCCCTCCCCTCAGCAGATTTCTTCCAGAGCTGTCAGAAGATCAGGTCCATAGCAGCAGGGAACAACCCATTCCAGTGCACATGTGAGCTGAGAGAATTTGTCAAACGCATAGGCCAAGTATCAGAAGTGGTAGAGGGATGGCCTGATTCTTACTCATGTGACTTCCCAGAAAGTGCTCAGGGGACCCTACTGCAGGACTTCCACATGTCTCCATTGTCCTGTGATACTGGTCTGCTGATTGTCACCATCGGGGCCATTTTGCTGGTGCTGGCTGCCTTTGTGGCTTTCCTCTGCTACTGCTTAGATCTGCCCTGGTACCTCAGGATGGTGTGTCAGTGGACACAGACCCGGCGCAGGGCCAGGAACATCCCCGTAGAGGAGCTCCAGAGGGATCTCCAGTTCCATGCTTTTGTCTCATACAGTGAGCATGATTCCGCCTGGGTGAAGAGTGAATTACTGCCAAACCTAGAGAAAGACGGCATACGGGTTTGTCTCCACGAGAGAAACTTTATCCCTGGCAAGAGCATCGTGGAGAATATCATACATTTCATCGAGAAGAGTTACAAGTCCATCTTTGTGTTGTCTCCCCACTTCATCCAGAGTGAGTGGTGCCATTATGAACTCTACTTTGCCCATCACAATCTCTTCCACGAAGGATCTGATAACTTAATCCTGATCTTGCTGGAACCCATTCCACAGGACAACATTCCTAGCAACTACTACAAGCTTAAAACTCTCATGTCACGGAGGACTTATTTGGAATGGCCCATCGAGAAAAGCAAACACGGACTTTTTTGGGCCAACCTAAGAGCAACCATTAACGTCAAGCTGGATAAACAAACAGAAACCACATGTCACATACAGCGATAAGAATAGTCACCTCATTAGGTTTGCTGCTTTGGGCAATTCTGATAATGGTGCCATTGCCATTAGCATGAACCTAAAAATGATTTTGACATTATGATGCAGGAATTTGTGCTTTAAAGGCCCAGTTTACCACTAATGTGTGATAAAAAATTAGTGAGTATTACAATTTTTGTTAAAATTCTTCTCTTCTTTTTTTAAAAAAAATATTGTTTTGTACACATAGGTATCTTGCCTCATTTATTTCTGTATACTGCATGAATGCCTGATGCCCTTAGAGACCCACCAAGGGCATAAGAGTCCCTGGAACTGGCGTTACAGACAGTGGTGAATTGCCATGTGGTTGATGGAAATTGAGCCTGGATCCTCCAAAAGAGCAGCCAGTGCTCTTAACTTCTGAGCCATCTCTCCAGCCCCAAGATCATTAATTTCAAATACTTAAGCGATTAATTTGTTTCTTTGCTATAACCATATTCATTGAATTTTCCGTAGAATTGGCAAAAGCCCTTCCCTCTGCAGGTGTGTGTATTTCCAAGTGCTGGGTCAACAGTAGAAAAACTTCAACTTGGTCCACTTCAGGTTGACTTCCCTATCTCTCTCAGTTCGCCCTCTGAGTCCCTTGGCTCTTAGGCCCTGATAGTGCTTTCCCACATAAATTGCTTGCACGTAAAGCTCTCATCTCTAGTTCCACTTACTGGAGGAGTTGAAGGACAGAGGATGGCATAGTCTACACATGATTGCATGTACTGATGACTCCTTGGTCTAAGGATCTCACAGTGAATCTTGGAAGTCTGCATGACTCCAGATACAGAAAGAATAATGAGACAAGAGCATACAGTGAAACATACAGGGATTATTTAACGTGGCCATCTTAGAAATAGGTAGTTAATCTCAGCACCTAGGTAACAGAGGTAGATGGAGCTCTGTGAATTCAAGGCCACCCTAGTCTACACAACTTCCAGGACAGCCAGGGCTCTGGAGAGAGAGAGACTGTCTCAAGACAAACAAACAAAAATACCAGAAATGGTAGGCTAGGCTTTCCATTGGGTCTTGAAGGAAGTGTCTATTTGTAATGGTGAAGAATGAAAAGGTCATTATAATAAAGTGCAAAGGCTGGGATACTCAGACTTACTCTGGGGATGAATATGAATGTGATTGGATATGAGGTTTATGACAAATGAGACTGGTACAAGTCATTGGCAGTTAAATAAAATCATATCGCAGTCAGTCATTGGTATATGCCTGAAATCCCAGCAACTCCAGGCTGAGGTAGGAGGTTTCTGAATTTTAAGCCAGCCTGGGCTACATAGTTATATCCTATCTCCAGGAGAAGGGGAGGAGAAAGAAAAGGAAGAGCATATTACCAATGGTCTTAGTTAGACTCCTGAATCAGACCTGGAGATCTGTGAAACACAGCTTAACGTCTATGAAAGCACAATGGGAAGCGAACATTGACCACAAACCTGTCATTCTGTAATGGCGTTGCAACAGTCGTTCTAACTGGATCCTTCCATTTCCTCTGGGCCCACTATACTTCCCAAATTACACTTCTAGATTTCACAATCCCATTTCCACTCCTTAACAAGTGCTTTTATAGTAGCTTTAGCGACTTCTGTGCAGAGACCATGTCTGCCCAGACTGAACAGTTCAAGTTTCTTGACTCAGGTCCTAGGGCTGGATGTCATGGAGAGGATGGGGTTGATTCCTTGTGAGATCAGGGAGGGAAGGGCCTGCTCCCTGCCTCTTCTTGATTTGCATTTGGCCATTTTCTCCCTGTGTTTCTTCACTTTGTCTTTCCTGTTTGCATGTCTGCTGCTTCTGTGTGCTAATTTCCCATTTTCATACAGACATCTATTGGCCTCGGTCCAACACTAATGTTCCTATTTTAATTAGAACTGCAACACTCCCATTTCCAAGAAAGGTCTCATTCTGAAGTACTGAGGTTCAGGGGTGCAACCTATGAATTTGGAAGATACAATTCAGCCCCCAGCACCTCATAAGTCTAAAAAGCAGTTCTGTAAGGAGGCGCAAAGACTCTGAGAGTTTATCCAGCAAAGTCAGGATTTTGAGACATTAGATCCAGTCCTATCTGTAGACAGCTGAACTCATGAGCAGCTTCATGCAAAGAGGCTGCGGTTACACTTTTGGCATCTCCTCCCAAAGAATTCCAAGCTGCAAGATGAAGAATTTGGGTCAAAGCACAGATAAAAATGAAGTACTAAAAGAAAGAAATGGATAAATGAGAAGAAATATAGGATTCAGCCAAGCGGTGGTGGGGCACGACTTTAATCCTAGCACTTGAAAGGTAGAGACAGGTCTGAGTTCGAGAATATCCTAGTCTACAGAGTAAGTTCTAGGACAGCCAGGGCCACACAGAAACCCTGTGTCAAACAAACAAACAAAAAAGAAGAAAGGAAGAAGTGAAGGAAGGAAGGAAAGAAGGAAGGAAGGAAGGAAGAAGGATAGAAAGAAAAGAAATAGAATTCAAATGCAATCTCTAAGCCTTGTTTGGGTTTTAATTCTAGCTTCTACATTCATTTGTGATGATTGTAAACAAACTATTTAAACTTTCTAAGCTAATTTCATTATTTACACTATAGATTATTTTTTAAAAGTGCCCTTAAGGGGCTAGCCAACACCTCTAGATTTCCAGACATGATTTTTTTTATTTATTTTTAAATTTAAATTTAAATTAGAAACAAGGTTGCTTCACAAGTCAGTTCCAGGTCCATCTCTGTTTCCCTCCATTCCTCCCGTGCCCTCCCCCCAATCCCCCAATATCCCCTCATTTTCCAGAGAGGGTGAGGCCATCCATGGGGGTGTCCATAGTCTGTCATTTCATTCAGGGCAGGCCTAGACCCTCCCCCAAGAGTTCAGGGTGAGAGTACATCTCACATTGTTGGGTGGGAGTCCAAAGTCCATTTGTATACCCGGGATAAATACTGATCTACTGCCCAAGGCTCAATAGATTACCTAGGCCTCCTCACTGGCACCCACATTCAGGGGCTCTTGATCAGTCCCATGCTGGATTCCCAGGCTGATGCCTGGGATTCAAGAGTTAACCCTTGTCAGGTCAGCTGTTTCTGGGGGTTAAACCAGCCCAGTCTTAATCCCTTTGGTCATCAGTCCTCCCTCTCTGTTACTGGCTTTCTTGAGTTCAGCTCAGTGCTTAGCCTTGGGAGTCTGCCTCTTCTTCCATCAGCCACTGAATAAAGGTTCTGTTTTCCAGACTCTCTGGCCATGGGATTGTAGGCTGGCACTCCCCAGACCTATGTCTAAAATCCATATATGAGAGAGTACATGCCATGTTTCTCTTTTTGTGACTGGATTACCTCATTCAGGAGGGTTTCTTCTAGTGCCATCCATTTGCCTGCAAATCTCAGGATTCCATTGTTTTATTCTGCTGAATAGTACTCCATTGTGTAAATGTACCACATTTTCTCTATCCACTCTTCGGTTGGGAGGAATCTAGGTTACTTCCAAGTTCTGGCTATTACAAATAATGCTGCTATGAACATAGTGGAACAGACATCCTTGTTGTATGAATGGGCATCTTTTGGATATATACTTAAGAGTGGAGTTGCTGGGTCTTGTGGTAGGTTTATTCCCATTTTTCTGAGGAATCTCCATACTGATTTCCAAAGTGGCTGAACAAGTTAGCACTCCCACCAGCAATGGAGGAGTGTTTCCCTTTTACCACATCCTCTCCAGCATAAATTGTCATTGGTGTTTTTGATTTTAGCCATTCTGACAGGAGTGAGATGGTATCTCAGAGTTGTTTTGATTTGCATTTCCCAGATGGCTAGGGATGTTGAGCACTTTCTCAAGTGCCTCTCAGCCATTTCAGACTCCTCTATTGAAAATTCTCTATTTAATTCTGCAGCCCACTTTTTAATTACATCTTTTGGTGTTTTGGAGACTTGCTTCTTGAGTTCTTTGTAAATTTTGGAGATCAGCCCTCTGTCAGATGTGGGGTTAGTGAATATTTTTCCCATTCTGTGGGCTGCCTTTTTGTCTTGTTGACTGTGTCCTTTGCCTTACATAAGCTTCTCAGTTTCAGGAGGTCCCATTTATTAATTGTTGATCTCACTGTCTGTGCTACTGGTGTTATGTTCGGGAAGCTGTCTCCTGTACCAATCCGTTCAAGGGTACCACCCACTTTCTCTTCTAAGAGGTTCAGTGTGCCTGGATTTATGTTGAGGTCTTTGATCCATTTGGACTTAAGTTTTGTGCATAGCGATAAACATGGATCAATCCACATTCTTCTACATGCCAGCCTCAAGTTATGCCAGCACCATGTGTTGAAGATGCTTTTTTGTGCATAGCGATAAACATGGATCAATCCACATTCTTCTACATGCCAGCCTCAAGTTATGCCAGCACCATGTGTTGAAGATGCTTTCTTTTTTCCATTGTATATTTTTAGCTTCTTTGTCAAAGATCAGATGTTCATACAGGTGTGAGTTAATATCAGGGTTTTCAATTCGATTCCATTGGTCTACCTGTCTATTTTTGTGCCAATACCAAGCTGTTTTCAGGACTATAGCTCTATAATAGAGCATGAAGTCAGGGATAGTGATGCCTCCGGACCTTGCCTTGTTGAACAGGGTTGTTTTGGCTATCCTGGGTCTTTTGTTTTTCCATACAAAATTGGTTATTGTTCTTTCAAGGTCTGTGAAGAATTGTGCTGGGATTTTAATGGAGATTGCATTGAATCTGTAGATTGCTTTTGGCAGGATTGCTATTTTTACTACATTGATCCTACCTATCCAAGAGCATGGGATCTTTCCATTTTCTGAGGGCTTCTTTAATTTCTTTCTTTAAAGATTCAAAGTTCTTGTGATACAGGTCTTTCACTTCTTTAGTTAGCATTACCCCAAAGTATTTTATGTTGTTTGTGTCAATTGTAAAGGGTGATGTTTCTCTGATTTCTTTCTCAGCCTTTTTATCATCTGTATATAGTAGGGCTACTGATTTTCTTGAGTTGATCTTGTAGCCTGCCACTTTGCTGAAGATGTTAATCAGCTCTAAGAGTTCCCTGGTAGAGTTCCTTGGGTCATTTATGTAAACTATCATATCATCTGCAAATAGTGAAAGTTTGACCTCTTCCTTCCCAATTTGTATCCCCTTGATATCCTTTTGTTGTCATATGGCTCTAGCTAGAACTTCAAGTACAATGTTGAAAAAGTATGGATAGAGTGGACAGCCTTGTCTTGTTCTT